CGCACACGCACACGCACACGCACCCACACACAAGCGCGCGCACGCACCAACACACACACACACACACACACACACCCAGACAGAGACACTGACCCGCACACTCACTCACTCACTCACGCACGCGCGCACTCAAGCACTCACTCACTCACTCACGGTCGCTCTCTTACTGTCTATTTCCCTGAATTACACAGCCTATGCACACGGACACCCAGAAACATTCATACATGCAGATCGTTTTTCAGTGACACCGTGAAGCTTCGCACTGTGACGACAGCAAAGCGCAGACCGATTGTTGGATTGTCTACTTTCGGCGTTGCTGACTGGTCCGGCGATTCGACATGCTGGTTGCTAGGGTTTCGGATGTGGGAGGTAATCATAACGCTCCTAGTGGTTCCGTGACGCTTTCAGCATTATAACACAAACATGGCCAGCAATAGCACTTAAAACGTCCAAGTTTAATACTGCTAACAATGAAGCGGAAGGCTAACATGAATAAGAAGCATGCTACTTGTAGTAGAGGTGGTGGTGGTGGTGGTGGTGGTAGTAGTAGTAGTAGTAGTAGTAGCGAGTAGAAAGTAGTAGCAGTAGTAGCAGTAGTAGTAGTAGTAGTAGTAGTAGTAGTAGCAGTAGTACTACTACCACTACTGCTACTACTGCTGCTGGCAATAGTCATGATAGTGAATAGTACAGAAGAGGAGGAGTAAGGGCAAACGGAGCCATAATAACAATAAGAGTAGGAATGGCGGTAATATTAGTAGTCAAAGCAATAGTAATACTAGTCATAACAGTTTTAATAGTGGTGATGATAATCGCAACTTGAATAACAATAAGAATCATAGAGATCTCACTAGTAACCGTATCTCATTCAAGGCCGGCTGGGAGCGCCACGATGCCATGCAGCTGGGCCTTCAGGACGCTTCGGTCCGTCAGGTTTTTGAGGGCACGTTTTAAGGGTGTGGTTTCAACATGTGAGGCTTGATGAGGTTGTCACTGTATCGGATGCTAGAGGGCTTTGGGGTTCAGGATTTTCTTATGGCACAGGATTTTCAATGTTCCGGGGTTTTAGTTTCACTATTTTGCCCAGATTTAGGACGGGGTTTTCAGGTTTGTGCAGGCTACTCTGGACGCTGGACGTAGACTCCTGGGATGCATCGGGCTACTAGGGAATCGGATTCATGATAGCGCTCTTCGAGGGTCTGTTCCTCCCGCGGTTGTGATGGCTTTAGGTCCCAAACCCAACCCCCAACCCTGAGTGTGTAGGGTAGGTACCAGGTACCTCGTGGGTCAGAGGCTCCGGGCTCCTGGCTGCTCCGGTATCGGAAGCGGACGTCACCCCGGAAGAAGTGTGAAAGGGTCCACAAAAAGGAAACAAAACACAAACTGAACACCACACCCCTGAAATTTAGGCTTTGAATATTGATTTTGGGTGCAAGAAAGGAGCTGCTGCAATACTCGCATAACGGTACTTGAACAGTGGTCTGAAGACGAGGCCTGACGTTCGAAGAACTGAAGCAAGACTTCAACTTGAGTATGGGACGATAGCCATAGCTTAGGCATGGCCCTTAATTTCTCCCAAAGTGGCGAAAGACCTCGCCGACTCCAAACAACATGCAATGCGGGCTCGCCCGTGCGATGTGCGACACAACGAACCCTATTGTGTAGGGCTCGGGCTTATGGTGATCGAATTTTTAAGGGCTGTCGGCCTTTTTAGTGGATTGTACTACCCAAGTTGCAAGAGAATCCGTAGAAACTTCACTCTTTTGGACCCAAGCAGTGCCCCAAAGTATGTTTGGGAGGGTTACCGTAAAATACATTAAGCCTCATAGACTCATAGGCACCCGACAGCTTAAGGTTCCCTTATAAAGAAACATAACACCGAAGTCTTACTTCCGGGTTCCTGTTAGCACTTGAGGAGCTGCTACGCCGCAAGCCCCAGAGCCTACAAACTTTGAAAGCCCTAAATACCAAGAACCCGTGGCATAGCGCCGGCAAGCCATAAACCGCGAACCCTCTGAAGGACGAGCCTGCCTTCGCAGATTTGTTGGAGGCCGTTCGCGAGGCCATCCCCTCCCTGGAGCAGAAGGGTCTTTCACGCAGCTTCGGCGCAAAGGAGAGTGGTAAGAGTGAATTTTAGTAGCTGTACACGATCGTAGACGTAGTGGTAGTATTGTCGTCGTCGTCGTCGTCATCGTAGCAGTATGCATGAGGGAACTCGAAGGAGCAGTATTAACAGTTCTGCAGCCACTCCCAATAATCGTGCGCTCGGAGCAGCTGGCCCAAACTCTCCTCGTCGTCCCTATCTCCCCCTGGTCTTGACCTGAATTTGAACTGCAGTGCGAACGTGAACCGAGAGACCTCGTCTGGCTGAGCCCAAGTTGCGAGAGCGTAAACCCAAACCGCCTAAACCCTAGAACATGCTGAGGAGTGCTCATGGGCCTTGGAGATACGCACGAGGACCTGCCATTCGCTCATGCGACGACTCCTTATGCGCACCTGCAAAGGGTGGTCGCGGTAGCTGAAGCAGCCTGCCTCAGGCTGCAGGTCTTCTGGAAGGAGGGGTTGGGGGGAAACAGGGGGGAAAGGTCAAGTTGACGAGGAAGTCTTCAACTGCAGTCGGCAGTGCAGTACAGCTGCCAGGAAGCTACATCCGAGAATCTGGATGACAGGGATTTGGGATTTCCTCTTTTTGCGCTGTCCCGCCTGGCCATCTACAACGAGGAGCTTCACGGTCCAGCATTGATGGTTGACTCGGGAGCGAGTGATTCCGTCGTTGCCGTGACTGTCAATAGGCATCGTGCAAGATATGGGGGCAGGTGAGCGTCAACAGTCACTATGCCCGTCATGGGGCTGCCTGCATGCACGTAGGTTGGCAGGTAGGCAGGCAGGTAGATACTTGTAGGTACATAGGCAAGCAAGGGGTGTGTGTGTATGTGTGCATGTATGCAAGTATGCATACATGCATGCTGCATGTATGTATTTCTGTATTTGTTTATGTATGTACGTAGCTAGGTAGGCCTGTATTGTTGTATCTCTTTAATTTAGGTAACTCAGTAAGTATGTATGTATGAATGCTGCTCGCGTATGTATGTATGTACATAAGTAGGTATGTCTGTATCTATATATGTGTATAAGTATATGGAAGGTACTGTAAGCATGTCTTCTTGTACGTATGTAGGTATGTACGTACGTATG